GCGAGTGAACGAGCGCTGCTGCGCACAAGCACGCTAAACAGACGGCTTAGTCTGACAGTTTGCCTGCCCTGGACCAGGTTAGCTTTCCAGCATAAGTTGCCACAGTAACTGATTTTGATCTTTGTTAAATTTGTTTTATGGAACCAAATCATTTGACAGCAAGTCAGACTAACTGAAATAAGCCTGGCCTATTTGGTAAACTTGTTTTATGAAACAGGCCTCGAGGCATTAGAAGTCAGAAGACACATAAGTTAATTTATGATTTGCTGTCTGTCTGAACCAAAGAAATAAATGCGATCATATTTTTTCCATTGCATCGAATAGCATTGTGTTGAATCGGATCGAATCTAAATCGGATCGCACTGCATCGTAATAGGGGTGAATCGTATCGTATCGCTAGCTACTTTATATGTATCTTCAATGTATCGTATGGTTGGCTATGCATCGAGATTTGTTATGGAGTTGCATGAGATATCGACATTAGGGGGGGGGCAAATTGAGCAGTGTAACCAATCACAGACATATCTGTTGATTTCTTAAACGCAATGGCCAATCAGAAACTTTTTGTCAGAATTCACTCACTGCTGAAAGCGCCGCAGTTTTGCACGCTCGTGAATCATCTCATGACTAAGTGCAAACGCGATGTAAATAAGAGATTCACTGTGCAGTTTAGAGAGCTTCATTGATTATAACAGAACTTTGTAAGATCGCGATGAACGAAGATGAGTGACGCTTTTTAGTGATAAAGGGAGCGCGCTTTGCGCACTTTCTAGGGTATAATTCATTCAGAATTTGTATGAAACTTTAGTTTTTCGGACACATAGGCTACACCCTGCAAAGTTTTGGGAATGACATCCGCATATTTATGCGGGATTCACTCTTGAAATATCAGTGATTGGCAATGGACAGAACATAAAATATGTTGATTTAATTCTGTGTGTAAACTTTATTGAGATCGGGACATTTCAACCAGTAATTTCATTTCCAGTAACGGATGTGATTAAGTAATATGTGATTTATGACAGAATATAAACCCACAACTGATCATTGATTTTTTTCCCTCACGTGGCTTACAGATAATGAAAACCCAAAATTCAGTGTCTCAGAAAATTAGAATATTGTGAAAAAGTTCAATATTGGAAAGTCATGGTGTCACACCCTAATCAGCTAATTACCTCAAAACACCTGCAAAGGTGTCCTGAGCCTTTAAATGGTCTCTCAGTCTGGGTCAGTAGGCTACACAATAATGGTGAAGACTGCTGACTTGACAGATGTCCAGAAGACTCCACAAGGAGGGTAAGCCACAAAAGTTAATTGCTAAAGAAGCTGGTTGTTCACAGAGTCCTGTATCCAAGCATATTCATAGAAAGTTGAGTGGAAGGAAAAAGTGTGGTAGGAAAAGGTGCACCAGCAAGAATTTGGGGGAGCTTCACAAGGAGTGGACTGAGGCTGGCGTCAGCGCATCAAGAGCCACTACGCACAGACGAATCCTAGACAAAGGAGGCCCAACCAAGTAGTGAGTGCATAGAAATGAACATACCTTTCAGAAGCCTGACATTTCTGTTTAAAATATGATTTTTTTTTTATTGATCTTATGTAATATTCTAATTTTCTGAGACACTGAATTTTGGGTTTTCATTATCTGGAAGTCATAATCATCAAAATTTCAAGAAATAAAGGCTTGAAATATTTCACTCTGTGTAATGAATGTATATAATATATGGGTTTCACTTTCTGAAATGAGTGACAAAAAATATTGACCGTTTTCATGATATTCTAATTTTGAGATGTACCTGTATATCTTCACATAAACTTGAAGCAAGACTCACGCTAGCAACCACATAGCAGCATGCTAAAATAATTCTAACAATCAGATTACCGTAATAACGACCCTAGCAACACAGTTTCTTCTTCAAAAAAAGTAAAATCTATACCACCAACAAAAATGCACCAAGGAAATACCAAGTTTTTTTGGGTCCCATGATATGTTTTGAAGTGTCTTGGAGTGGAGATATCATTACTGTAGCATGATGCGCCACAGCACTCGAGCGTAAGGTAGGCCTATGTCTGGCTACCAGCGCGCTCTCATTTCTAATGCATCCTCAATCTGTGCAGACAGAAGAAAAGAATTCAGCATCCATCACCCCAGATATTGTATCCTGGAGTGCTGCGTGCTGCGGAGAGCCAGCGGCTTACAAAGTTCATAACCATCTGTTTCAATTACAACACATATGCATCTCATTACCAACACCCACGAGCTCAGAGCGTGACGTCAGCGTTGTCCTCTGGAGCGATGCGAGTGTTTATGGTGGCGACCGTCACTCTGTGTTAGACTGCATCAGTGTAATTCCCCATGATCCACTCTGGTAAAGCTCATTCTGATGTATTCCTCCATTCCAGATTCAAAATCCTTGACCAAATATTGCTGAAAGCCTCAAAATAAATGCTGCTGAAGTCAGTCACCTCAGTAATAGTCCCTTTCACTGACCGTCTGATGCAAACCACATGCAACCAAACATGACTGATTGACTTTATGCAACTCACACCAGTTTAGAGACGTACCAGTTCACCTAGAAACCAAATCACGGTTAACAAGAACCCGTTTGATGCAGTTCAAAGAAAGAACTAGTCACTGCATCTCCCAAAGACTGACAGGTTAACTAGATATAACCATGAGAAAACTCATTTTGGATGGACAGTAGTACTGCTCACACACATTTCTGCTCATTTTATTGACGTTTTTCACCAAGCAACATTACTGTACACTTATTTCAACAGGTTTCTGCACCGGTCGATTATGGACCCTTTTCACAGAATGTGATATATCTAGCAAAGTTTTTCTTTTATTTTCATTTTTAAAAATGTAATGCACTTTATAACACTATATCTTGTGTAAGGTTACACTGGCATTATGTTTTTAGAAATCTAGTTAATGTTGCTGTGTGAGTGTTTCTAATGCAACTGCTGGAAAGTGATGGCAAATTTCACATTGTTCTCTCTTTTAACCAACGTAATCAATCTTTCCATGCATGCATACACAGGTTTTTTTTTCTTTTGCTATTACACACACACATATATATATTAGTGCTGTCAAATGATTAATCGCGATTTTTTTTTTTATTATTTTTTATTTTTTTTGTAAAGTCATAGAAACACTATTGATGATTTTTCTTTTGCTATTAGTGCAAATGGAAATGCAAGAAAAATATAATATTTGTTGTAGTTTCCATTTACCAACTATGATTATTTCTGCTTTGGAAATGTGAAAAGGGTCCATAGTGGTTCATATAAATCCACCCCTAAACGCCGCTAAAGTCTGTGATTGGTCAATTCACCTGTCAATCAGAAAGACTATTCCTGTCTAATACCAGATACAAGCCCAATGTAATAAAGCGACACTCAAAAGCTTTTGGTCCAGAAACCTGCCTCACATATTAAACATCAGTGATGTTCTTTTTATTATTATTATTTTTTTTTGTAAAGTCATAGAAACACCATTGATGATTTTTCTTTTGCTATTAGTGCAAATGGAAATGCAAGAAAAATATAATATTTGTTGTAGTTTCCATTTACCCTGATAGAAGTTTACCAACTATGATTATTTCTGCTTTGGAAATGTGAAAAGGGTCCATAGTGGTTCATATAAATCCACCCCTAAACGCCGCTAAAGTCTGTGATTGGTCAATTCACCTGTCAATCAGAAAGACTATTCCTGTCTAATACCAGATACAAGCCCAATGTAATAAAGCGACACTCAAAAGCTTTTGGTCCAGAAACCTGCCTCACATATTAAACATCAGTGATGTTCTGTTTCAATCAGCTGTAAGATCAAGACTAGATTGCAGTAATGAAATAGGTATAAAAAAAGAAATAAAAAAAATCAACTTTATTTTCAACACAAATCCACTAATATAAAAAGTGACTTGCATAGTACAGAGGAACAATTTTGCACATAATGTTACAAAGTACACACATTTCTATAGACATATCAAAATATGTACACCTTAAATGATTCGCATGTTCTCCACACTTGGCCAAACTGGTGTTTAGCTGATTGGCAAGCAGGTCTCACATCCTGACCAACTAAAAACTGTCCAAAACCAGACCAGCCTGAGCGGAAAGCCATCCTAGGCTTGCCTTTAAGATGTTTTTTTCTCAGCAGAGAAGTATTTTATTTCGGACTGGAGGAGACAATTCAGTAGCTATAGTAGATCTGCAGCGCGTCGGACGTCAGCTTAAGCTGCGTCGCGTCGCGTCGCGTCGAGTGTCGAACGCGCGATCGCGTTTTGTAGTCAAACGAAATACATGATACCTTTAATTAAGTAGTTCCTACGCGTTAATAATTCATTATTAATAACGTTTTTTTTAACGTTTTGTTAATATTTTAAGCTATTAATGCTTATTAAATAGCCTACTGTAAATAATATCGATATGACATATTATGAATAAGTTCACAGTCATAATTGTGATGATAATTAATCCACTATTTGACACGAAGGCTTAAAACACACGACATTAAACAGTGCAAGTGTTTCTCCTGTCGCCACAAACCGCTGCGGCGCATCCGACCCATTGAAATACATGAGTTAGTGTGTACTACACACTTACATCAAGACAAAACCTCTCATTTTGAGACTATTTGAAATAAAAAAAATCACATAACAGATATTCCGGATCATAGGTATAAACTCGATCAAACGCATTCGATGCGTAAAACACCTTCACGTTATCTGTTGCATTAATGAAACAATTACCCTCTTAAATGGCCATACTATACATTAATACATCATCCAAACATAATATAATAAACTACATTAACTAAAATCATAAAACAACATCAGATTATTTAGTCGTTTCATCTCAGGTTGGCACAAAGCAAAGTTCCTCCTCAACTTGCTGCTGTTATTCCGGTCAGAGGACCGCGCGCGGACACAGATCCAACAGAAAAGTCAATATTCGCCTCAGATTACCGCGAATAATATGAATAACGTGATACTCGCCTTTGCTGACGGAGCCTGTGATGAAGTAAAAGATGAGATACAGCGGTAAAATCATTCCAATAGTGTGTGAGCCCCGCAGATCCATGATGCGCGACTGATGCTGGAATGAGACTGACTCTCCTCAGCGCGAGACTCTGGGAGCGAGCGGGTGTGTGTGTGTGTGTGTGTGTGTTCGGCTCTCAGTGGCTCTTTCACGCCATCCTGCTGCCGAAAGCATCTGAATACAGTCTGCGTGACACACACACACACACACACACACACACACACACACACACACACACACACACACACAGAGAGAGACAGAGCACAAACCTGCTGCTGCTTTAATTTAATCTCATCAGGTTATAAGGAGAATCTGCAACGCTGTCAGACATCACTTTAATATTCAAACTAAACGCGTCAATGAGAAATTATAAGTGCATTTGAAATTCCAATTCAATGAAAGTAAAAAAAATAAAAATTTACTTAAATATACAACTGTAACTGTGTATATGTGTGTGCACGCACGCGTGTATAAAACTGATTTAGCTTTCAAGAATGTCATTTTTCAGCATTAATTAAAAACGTTTTTCAGATTTTTATTTTTTTAGTAATAGCTACTGAATTTTGAAATGTCACATATAGTAAGTATTTTATTATATTTACTCTTTTATGTTAATATTTCTCTTTATGAGGTTCCCTAAAATAATGTTGCTGTATGACAAATGCATGCTGCTTGTGTTAGTTGTTTTGACAGTCTTGGGGCCCTATTTTAACGATCTAAGCGCATGGTCTAAAGCGCACGGCGCATTTGCGCTTAGGGCGTGTCCGAATCCACTTTTGCTAGTTTGCCTATCAGACACCCGGCACCAGGCACGACACAAGTGTTTTTTGCTAGTTTCAGCCCGACGCAGTTCTCATTTTCACGTCCTGCGTCACGTTGTTTAAATAGCAAATGCATTTGCGCCCATTTGTGCGCCCATGGGCGTGCTGGTCTGAAAACGAGGTGTGTTCAGGCACATTGCTGGCGCGTTGCTATTTTGAGGCAACTGAAATAGACTGCGCCATTGACCAAAAAAACCTGGTCTAAAGTCATCGACGCAGTAGTTTTTTTGTTATTTAAAGAGCGCGGGTCCACAGCGCGCGTACACTCTGCTTATTACACACACAGGGACGCACAGCAGCACACAAACATGCCAAATATTAAAAATGAAAGGATTGCAATGTAAAATATTATTATATGAAATGCCTACATGTCATTGCATGTATCAGAATTAGGCTACCTAATTGCTCGCGCACGAGCAGCTCTGTTTCATCTCTGGAGACGCATTCTGTCTTTGCGCGTGCAAATTCCGCTGTGTAAATAGCAAATCCGCCAAACTTATATTAATACTTCTCTTTATAAAGTTCTCTAAAATGATGTGGTGGGAGAGTTGCCATATGATAAATAAATGCTGGCGACGGTGTTCATTGTTTTGACAGTCTTGAACTTAGTAACTTATGTTCCAGAAACATTTTTATATTAATACTGAATGTTTGAAATGACACAAATAGAAAGTTGTCACACCTCTGGACAGTTTGTGTGCGTTTTTCTCCCCATGTGCTCAGTTTCTCCCTTGTTGGATTGTTCATTTGGTTCAGGTGTGTCTTGTAATTACCCTCGTTACCCCATGTATTTAAGTCCCAGTCTGTGCTGTCTGTCTTTGTCGGGTCTACAAAAGTCATGTTCGTGTGTTACAGCCATTCCTAGTGTGGATTACCCTCTTGTTTTAGATGTATTAAAGACTGTTTCTCTGATCCACATCTCCGTCGTTCTCTCCGACACAGAGTGTGACAGAAGACCCAACCTGAAAAGAAGTTTAATTGCATGTTTCCCTCCGTTTGATTTCCGTTTTTTTGAACAATGTTTTCGTTTCCCGTGATTTCCCCATGGATCCCCTCGCTGCTTTTTCGTCTCACTAGCCCATAAGGACCTGCTCCTTGTGGAGCATGTGGTTGAGTTCAGCCAGCTCGCCATTCTAAAGGCATTCCATGATGCTGCGCTGAACTCACTGTTCTGGATAGGGGCATACAACCACCGCCCCGTCGACCTCCCAGACATCACTGGACTGACCTGGAGGGAAGCTATCATCCGGTGTCTGGAGAGCATCTAGCCCCGATCTAGAGCACAGCCAGACCCAGAGCCCAGCCCATCATCACCCCGCTGTGTGGAGCTCAAGCCCGAGCCCGCCATTGATGGAGAGCCCGAGACCGCCGCAACCGATGAGCCATCGCCGCATGGAGTGACAGTGCTGAGGATTGCCACGGAGCCGGAGCTGCAAGTAATGTCAGACCAGGTGCGATAGCCAACTATAACGCCCACCACGAGGGAAAGAGCCGTGGACAGTGAGAGCGCAGAGAGGAGCTCCGCCCCTTGCACCATGGCTGAGGGTGAACTTAATGAGGAACTGGGACTGAGGAATGCTGAAGGGGATCCTGAATCAGACTTATATGCTGACCTGCCCCCTTCTCCTCCCTCCCTCGTCGGAGCCCTCTGTTAGTCCTGTTACCCTGTCCAGCCCAGTAAGACACTATGTTCCTGAGTTAAGCCCGCCGGCCGCTCCACTGTCAAGCCCGCCGGGTGATTTACTCCCAAGCTCTATGATGACAGCAGCAATCTCCTTAAACTCAGCCCAAAAGAGGAGAATGAGGAGGAAAAGACTGTTGGCTCTATCCCTTGACCAGAGTCAAGTGAGGGCTTCTGTTCCTGAGTTCGGCCCAGAGAGGACTCCTGTTCCCACGTCCAGCCCAGGGAGGGCCTCAGATCCCAAGTCTAGTCCAGAGAGGGCTCCTGTTTCCACGTCCAGCCCAGGGAGGGCCTCAGATCCCAAGTCTAGTCCAGAGAGGGCTCCTGTTTCCACGTCCAGCCCAGGGAGGGCCTCAGATCCCAAGTCTAGTCCAGAGAGGGCTCCTGTTCCCACGTCCAGCCCAGGGAGGGCCTCAGATCCCAAGTCTAGTCCAGAGAGGGCTCCTGTTTCCACGTCCAGCCAAGAGAGGGCTGCGGTTCCCACGTATGTCCCAGGGAGGGCCTCCGATCCCGAGTCTAGTTCAGAGAGGGCTCCTGTTTCCACGTCCAGCCCAGAGAGGGCTGTGGTTCCCACGTATATGGCCCAGGGAGGACCTCGGATCCCGAGTCTAGTCCAGAGAGGGCTCCTGTTTCCACGTCCAGCTCAGAGAGGGCTGCGGTTCCCACATATATGGCCCAGGGAAGGCCTCAGATCCCGAGTCTAGTCCAGAGAGGGCTCCTGTTTCCACGTCCAGCCCAGAGAGGGCTGCGGTTCCCACGTATGGCCCAGGGAGGGCCTCAGATTCCGAGTCTAGTCCAGAGAGGGCTCCTGTTTCCATGTGAGATAAAAGTCTGCATTGACAGATATAAACTCGCAAATTCTCAGTTAAAAATGTATATTCTACGTTTATATTTCACAATTATTACTTCTTACTCAGAATTCTGATTTCACATCTCAAAATGTTTTTTCCCCCTCTCCACCATGGAATAAAAACAAAAAGGTTGCAGCTTGTTCTCTCACAATTCAGACTTGTTTTTCTCACAAAGTTATCTCAAAATTCAGAGAATAAAAATCTGAATTGTTAGATATAAACTCGTAAATTAATAAAGTCTCACTTACCTTTTTTATTCTTTATCCCATGCCTAAAACAAGTTACCAAAGACTCAACATATGCACTACTATATATTACAAGTTTTCTTTGTCTGATGATCATGAAGAAACAAACTGATGTTACTCACTGAAAATATTCCTCTCCAACAAAGCACTGGAAACGTCCTTCCATCTTACAAGTTTCATATCTGAAAGACAGCCCCTGTTGTTGTATAAATTCATAAAATTAAACCAGCAATTGTGCATGTCAAAGTAAATGTTCTACATTACAGGAAAATGTGTTTCATGTCAAAGCAAATTAATCCAGATCTATATTTATATTATACATGCTGGTGAATTGTGATTTCAGTTCTCCTAATGCTGTACTGTATCTGTGGCATGTGAAGCTAAATCTGTAATGTGTGTGTATAACAAGTTTTCATGAAAGTTTCACATTGTTTTGTAGTTTTTTGAGTGTTTGTATATGGCATTTGTTTTTATATTTGAGTTAGCTGATGTTTCACAGAGAACAAATATCCAAATATGTCCGGCATGGCCGTGGTTGAGATTATTCTGAGCAAAGAAAGCCACTTCATTCACCTGAATTATTCAGTTCTTCACAAGGGTTTGGACAAACTGAACCCAGTTGCTGGAGTACAAGCTTTTAGCCAGACCGTTATATGGAAAAACGGTGTTAGAGAGGCCATGAGTCTTTGACACATTCAGAGGAGAGTAAGAAGCACAATAACACAGCGTAATCACTATAGGAATATATTCTGTGAAGTGCTTCGAAAACTTTTAGCAAATATCATGAAAACTGTCAAGAACATCGCGTTCCAGCTTATATTTCAAAATAAATAAACATTTCATGAATCATATAATATATTGTATTAATAGTAATAATAATAATAATAATATGCAGTAAATGTTTAAAGTCAAAGCAAATTAAGATCTAAATGTGTATATATATATATACAGTGGGTACGGAAAGTATTCAGACCCCCTTAAAATTTTCACTCTTTGTTATATTGCAGCCATTTGCTAAAATCATTTAAGTTAATTTTTTTTCCTCAGCCTGTATATTGAGCAATATCAATATAAAGTTAAGCATATTTTAAGAATCTACATTGTTTTAATGACAATTACACACATTTGCCTTTAAACTCTCATTAGAGTAATGCAAAAAAAGTAGGTAATAATAATAATAATGATAATAATTTGCATAGGGCAGTAAAGGCAATTTCCATTACAAAATATAATTTTAATTAAATTGCAAATTGCCATTATCAAAAGCTCAATGGTTTTGAAAATAGGATTCATGTTCTTTGATCTATATTTATTTTTTCTTGATTTTGGCGGTGAAATATGACTCATTGATTCCTGAAATGAAAACACAATCAAAGAATCAGAGGCTAATTGCTGAACAGCAGCTCAGAAACATCAAGTCCTGTTTTTCTGGCTCCATTCATGAGCATCACGGTCGAGTGGACCGCTGACAGA